TTATGCTGCTTTAGATGATGGTTTAATGCAGAGAAATCGACTCTTAGTCGACAAAATAGCGCATCAATTCTCCGATTCAGCAGACAGGGTAATTTGTTTGCAGGAGGTAACAAGTGGTTTTTAACTTTCTATGCGGAATTTATACGGTTTCGATTTATTTTGAAAGTCAGATCTTTGTGAAAGTAGTTCGGTCCATTCTTTAATAGCAGTTGGAAAGAAAGAATTCTGGAAGAAAACACTTTTGTCTCTATAATCATACAGTTGCTGGCTGCTGTTGTTTCTTAACGAATATTTCGTGTTCTTTGGTTCAGTAAACTTAAAGTATTGATTGGGTGTCCTTAAATTAGTCCAAAGTAGTAAGGTGCAGCTAATGCAAAATTCGAGTGGATTTTATCTTTCAATTTGTCATACATATTCTGATTCGTCTTGTTCAGCTGATCATGAATATCACCTTAAAATGTTTAAAAGTCCTTTTTTCATGGAGAAAAACCTGAAATACTGCAAGGGTCTAAAAAATCGAAAAAAATGACCTTTATCGTAGAAGTGACTTTTTTAAAGTTTTATTACAAGATGAGAGGTTGAAACTATTTTTTTCTGAATCAGCGTTGAAAACTGATTTAGAAAACGGTCTTCGGTTCATTTTAAAGGTAAACAGTCGTCAGCCATGGTCCGAACCAACGACTGTCAACTGAGTATGACTCCTTTTGTAAACCCATCTAGTTTTTTGGGAGAAGGGCTATATCGATGATTCACACACCATCAGATCGGTCAACACGCCAGATTTAAAAGTACGGAGAGTTTTTTTCAAAATTCCTTTTTCTTGCTGAGAAAAACGGCTTTTACTGAAAACCAAAGAGAAACAGCGAGGAGACCTTTGGAAAACCAGGCCGTGTGTAAAAGTTTTCAATAGGATTGTATTGATTTTCTTCCAGGCTATGATAGCCCAAGGTATCCTCTTCAAAGTGAGAGTCAAGTGAGACCTTGGTTTCCCGCGGCTCTGGTGTTGTGTCGGATTTCTTGCGAGTCCCAGGGCTGGCACTCGGTGACTATTGGTAGCCTTGAAAACGGATGGACTATAGATAATCGATCATGCTGAGCCTCGTGGCAATATTTGTTTTTAGAAAAAGTTCAAAAAGTCTACCGAAAAGCGAGTTTTACGAAAATTTGGGTTTTCAGGCTGTTTTCACCTATTACAAAATGCACTATTCACTCAATAAGCATCAGAACGGGTTCAAGACTTCAGTATATGGTCGATTTTCTCCGCTGAATGGGATTATAATATCGAAAAAATCGAAAAGCATATTTGCGTTAATGGGCTTTCCAGAAAACCTTTTGAAAAATCTCAGGGTTTTGTAAACTTTCTTTTAAGATCTCCTATAAATAGGATATAGAATAGCTTAAATACTTTATATCCTGAAGTCTTGAACCCGTTCTGATGCTTATTGAGTGAATAGTGCATTTTGTAATAGGTGAAAACAGCCTGAAAACCCAAATTTTCGTAAAACTCGCTTTAAACATTTTAAAGGTGATATTCATGATCAGCTGAACAAGACGAATCAGAATATGTAAGTTATGACAAATTGAAAAATAAAATCCACTCGAATTTTGCATTAACTGCACCTTACTTAAAAAACATGCACATTCTATTGACAAAGAACAAATTAGAAAATGGTAACTAGCCTTGATCCTTGAGCGATTTTATCTTCGAGGTACCTTTCATAGACCCACTCACAGTCAGACATAGTTGATATTGACAACTCTCGAGTCTCAAAATATTTCTCTGTGTAGTTTAACGAGTAAACCTCACTTCCGTAGTTCACCACAGATTGGACAAAAAGTTTATATACGCAACTGAGCGCAGCACGATTGAGATTCCATTTAACAAGGCGCATATAATTATGAATTGAATTAACTTTGCCAATAACGTAATCCACATGGGAATTCCAAGAGAGATTAGAAGCAAAAAATAGTCCAAGATGCTTATGGAGCGTAACTTCCTTAACCGGTTGCTGTTGGATTATTAGACGAGGAAAAGAATTCGAAGTAATTGCTCGTTTTGAGAATAGCTGAGCCTCACATTTATCAAAATTTAAATAAATTTACCATATTACACACCACTGTAATATCTTATCAAGATCTCTATTTAATATATCTGTAGAGTGTTGAAGAATCAAGCCGCCCATACTGTTCCAGATGATTAGATTTATCTTTCCATATCTTTACACTGCTTTCAAGTTTAGAGAAGAATAAATTTTGATAATAAATTGAATATAGGAATTCAAGAGAATTCTGTTTATGTGCGTCTGTAGTATGCCTATGTAGCTCGTATTTTGACCCATTACAAGAGAAAACTGTTCGAATTGAACTGAGTATTTCTTGTGCAATACAGCCTGATTTTGAATAAGATTCTAGTTCATTAATAAACATTTTTGCAGTTAGCTATATTGACAAAAGCAAAAAGTGTTAAATTTCGTTTTATACATATTTGATGGTTTTTACTTTGGAAAATATAAATGATACGCCAATAGCTATCGGAAACACGCTAAGCACAATTAACGTTAATTTTCAATTTATTATCAGTGAAATAAAACAACTAAATATAGCAGTAGAACCAATTTGAATGATAAAGGATAATTTATACCCGAAACCATCATGGATTTTATCGATTGATCTATATATTTATACATACATACACACATTAAATACACTCTATTTTAGATACGGACAACTTACTCGAACAAATACAGTTCGCCAGTTTTGTGTGTATCAAAATAGGACATATGCTATAAAGATGAAACAAATACACCGTCATCAGTATCATATCATATTATATCATTTACTTTATTCAATATTGTTTGAAATAGTTTAATTCGTATACTGTTTATTTGACGTTTAGCCGATATGTTAAAACATAAGTGTTGTAAATAAGCCAACAGAAATGACACTAGACCAACAGCTATAAATATAAATATATAATCTTTGTACGTTTGTTAGTTAGCCACATATAGGTTTATTCACCAATTAAAATGAATACTTTTTGATAAACTTGACTATGAAAATTGTCGAATGTTTCCAGTGTAGCTGATGGTGGACTGATATTGCAATATCTATTTGAAAAGATTGAATATACAGTATACAAACGTATGTATATGTTTTACTTGTAATAATTGTTGAAATTATATTGATTTAATTCGATACCATATGGACAATGTTGATTCAATTCAATAAAATTTAAATCACACAACGGTGACGATGTTAGATAAACATATTGTGCAAATACACTCGCTAAACGTCAAATAGGATTAGATATATTGTCCGACAGACACCGTTACAAATGGATACACACAGACCACAAACATTTAATGAATAGTCTAAACGATCAGCAAATCGAAACTAGCTCATCTTATCCCATTGGAACTTTTGGAAATTAATGCGAACTAATTTAAAACAGTCTCATATTAAATAAGCTTACATTAATTTTTTTCCGATTAAAAATCAATTTGAATTGATTTAACTTGATAAATTAGTTCAAATCAATTAAATTTTTAACCAGTTCGAATTAGTTTATCAAGTTAAATTAAGTTTTGTTGATTCTTCTTCAAATTACATCTTAAACATAGTGGAAGTCTGATTGAAATTTTCTCATGATGATCAACACCTGTATGAATATATAAAGAAAAAATGTCCGGTTAGAAACTGAAAACAAGAATTTTACACATTTTGTACGCACAAATTTTACACTCCGAAAAGTCGCATTTGGTATTTTTGCAAATAAAAAGCTGCATTTTTTTGTCTCACGGTTTCTTCTTTCTTCTCATCTTTCTTGTCTCACGGTGAACAGTGAAAAAAGAACGTTATCTGACAATACATCCGTACACTAATGAACATAGTGAAACACCACTTCAGAAAATGCATGTATCTGTTTTCGACTATTTACAAGATTATTTGTTAAATTAAGACCATGAGAACAAGAAAAATTATGGGTTAGGTACTGTGGAAAGACTTTACGTTTCTCAAAGAAGGAAAAACCCGATACGACATGAGGACGAAATTCCAGAGAAAAGAAAAATTTAAGAAGCATTATATGCGCCAAATCCTTCCTATGAGGTAGTTGTAGGATATCTAGCATGAATTTTAGTGATATATAAATGGAAAGTAAATTAGTATTTTTAATGATTGAAATTGGCAGCAGTGTCCGAGTTCTATGAATTCCGGAATTTTACTTTTTCCACGAGAATTTTCCGTCATCGTGAGAATTTTTCCCCTTGGCTAAAAGCAAAACAGAGTTAACAAATAACAACAAGACAAAGTTCTCTAAATTCCGCAATTTTGCTAGTTTCTACAAGAATTTTACTTTACTACACGAGAACTTTAGTTATAGGAGAAGACAGAACGTCCATCTCCACGAGAATTTTAGTCATTTCCACCGCAATTTTCCATGCTTCCACGAGAATTATACTCCACTACACACGAACCATAGTTATATAAGAAGATAGAACCTCCATCCCCACGGGAATTTTACTTTTGTACAGGAATTTTGAGAATTACCACGAGAATTTTAATCTCTTCCACGAGAATTCTGCTTCTCGCACAGAAATTCAGACTGACCACACTACTTGATGTATATGGTGTGCTTGCGAATTCTCTGTAATTTTTTTGAGTAGTTGTGCACTTGATAAAAATTCCAACGCTTCTTCGTATTCCTTTGTCACGTGATAGAAATAACCAAAGATCATGGAAAATTCGCATTCGCGTCGAACTGAATTATTCTTTAATATTTCGGTATGCAACATGTCTTCATACTGGCTATATACTTACAACATCTATCTTTTCTCTCACTAGTTCAGATACCATCTAGGCCAGGTAAGAATCGTGACTTACTCGCGTGGCATCTTTGCTCCACCCCCAACACACACACCTCCACGTCGACCTCTCCAGGTATATGTTTAGAAGGATAAGCATCCGAAGTAAGAAATACATAAATAAAAAATTTAGGGACTACCAGTATCTGATTGTTTGAATACATATAAAAAAGATGATAAGAAATCTATATGGTGACCTGAACTAGTCAGAAAATAATAGAAAACTCGCAAACACATCATATACATGTCTGTGCATTGAATGCTTAGTGGTGTATCTTACTCTAGAAAAAGCCATCAAATTTTGATATCATTATCGTCCATGGCATACCGAAATGACAGATTTCTTCGTATGATTCTAGAATACTAGGATGTAGAGGCTTTACCGAATGTAATCTAATACCGAGAGCTTGTTTCGTTTAAAAAGATACCTAGTTCGAATCCCGGCAACGACGTTCGCGTGATAGTTGTGGAGAAACTATCTAATGCTCATCGTCTCGGCACCTTTGGGCACAGATGCAATGGGGTAGTCTGATTTCAGTAACCATTGGATTGGAGAGATGAGAATTAAAGTTTAAAAAAACATAAAAAAGATGTATCACGGATGCACAACTCTGTATGTAACATTAGAAAATTGTCTCCCGATTGCCATAGAAGTTACTGGCATAATAAGAAGCGGTTTTCTTTGGTGTTTATATTATATGTGATATTTATCTTCAGTACTTTGAAGTTGGATTTCCACCATGTAACTTAGTCCATTACTTAGTCATACAATCCTCGAGAATCCAGTACCTCGAAAAGCATCTTTATGTTCTTGTTTTCGCTTTTCTCGTTGTTTGTCCAATATAACTGCTTATACAAACACAACAGTCATATATATCACCGTACGCAAGAGGTACGAACAATTATATTAAAGCTAATTAAGTGCAAACTGATATGGGGCGAACTGAGGTAAAAATTCTAAGACGAATTAGTTGGGACGAACTGAGAGTAAACCCTTCTTTCATGGATTTTACCTCTTCGGTCACGTCCGGTTAGCGGCTTGCAGGCAAAACTATGAAATTTCGAATTGAACAAAATCGTTTATAACTCGGCTTAAAACCCAACGGTCCAGATTGCATTGGACATTTTCTTACTCTCATGGGTCCTACCAAATGCCAAAATATGAGGACGAACTAATATACTACCCCCCAGAATAGAAAACCATGACCTTTACCTTCTATTACGGTTTCACACATCGCACCTTTTTTTATGAAAAATTGCCCTACATTTGTGACACTCTCTAGTCTGTATTTTACAATTTTATAGTTTGGATTTTTGGAGTGTCAAAAAGAAAAAAGTATTATCTTCACTTAATTGAATTTCTGGAGTGTATGCGTTTTTCACAAAAATGGAATCTATTAGTTCGCTTGAGTGGAAACCTACAATCATGGATCATGGTTTAGATTTATCCAAAGGACTTCTGTGAGTTTATATCGAGCGCTTTTTCAATTGCTTTCATGCCTTTATCGGAGACTTCATTACCAATTCGAATCGTTTTGTATGCAAAGCGATGCCTTCTGCGAGTGCCATTGCGCCAGTATCGGTTATTCCATTGCCTTGAACATTAATCTGATTGATGCCCAAGTTTTTCTTCAATACGTCTCCAGTTGCAACAGCACCATCATCCGAAATTTTGTTACGATTGAGAGTTAACTCACATAACGTTGAATTCATCTTTAATGCTTCAGCTATTACTTTTGCTCCTTCTGTTGATATTTCATTATTGCCAACATTTAAACGTTTCAGTCTTTTATTTACTTTGAGCGCATTGAATATTTCACTAGTACCAGCGTCGGATATTCGATTTTCCCGAAGATATAGATCAGTTAACGACTTATTCACTATTAAAGTGGCACCAATTGCTTTCGCCCCTTTAAACGAAATATTGTTGCGAGATAAATTAATCTCAGTTAGCGTAGAATTTGATTTCAGTATCTCAGCAATAAAGACAACTCCCTCATACGATATTTCGTTAGAATACAATTTGAGAGTGTTTACTGTAGTATTTTCTTAAGTTCTTCCGAAATTATTTTGATACCATCGAGCGAAAAATTTTTGTTCCCTAAATCGATATCGTTCGAACTTGATCTCAGTTGTTGAAGAGCATCGTCGAGTGCAGCAGAACGTGTGCTATTTATGCTTAGTGAACGTGTATAAGATAATTCCTAAAATGTTCAAGTATTATGTGAACCAGAAAGCAAGAAAGATGCTTTTTTCACAGAAATGGCTCGTAATGAATGAACTAGTTAAGAATGGCAGCCGATTCATCTTGACTAAGTCCGTTTAGACGAGGTGGCTGGCAATTCTCTTTTGCCATCCAAACATACATAGATAGATCTTCAAACAAATGACCAATTGGTTCACAAGCTGATTCTAATGGCATCAATGCAACATCTTGATAACCTGAAACCATTCTCATTTTGAAATACTCACCCTCACGGCTCGTGGTAGCTATTGAAAAATTCTTCGAAAATTTGATTTTTGTTGAACTTTTGTCATTTTAACTCATCCTCATACCGACATACAAACAAAAACAAACACATCACATCAGCTGAAGGCACTCTTTAATTAATAACACAAAACATAATTTTTACAAAAATGTTAGCATAACTCACAATAAAAAGAAATATACATATTCAGTTAAAAATTCGCAAGAGAATTACAAGATATCGCAAAAATACGACGACATTTACGATTCGTTTCCAAATTTTCATGGGAGCTCGAAACATAAATGCAGTTGCTTCGCTTGATCAGTAAAAGCTTCAATTATTTGCTGACGGAGTTCTAAGCTTGGAATGTATAGCTCTATTGGTTCCTTTCTACTATAGATTACAACTTTATCTACGGTAACAGTCACGGCGGCTCTCATCCGAAGTGTGAACTGAATTACTACAGACAGCCAATCAAGATTTTTAGTAGTAAAGAAAAACTCGAATAACTGGTATTCTGGCATATTTGTTAAGCATTGCCATATATCTTCGGAGAGGCAAAGCTCTGAAATTCTCTTGGGACCTACCTCTGCTATTAGAACGGATGAACTAAAAATATTGTCAATTACCTCTGCGGCTACACGAGAATCCAAATACGCGTTACCACGAAGCAGAACTACCAGCTTCTTCATAACCTCATCTGTCGCTGCTTTTTCACCCATCTTTCCGAGAGCTTTACATGCATTGCTTCTGACCCCTTCACTCTCATCTCCTAGTGCACTCACCAGCTTGCTGATCACTTCATTCGTCGCTGCTCTTTCACCCATCTTTCCCAGAGCTTTACATGCATTCCTTCTGACCCATTCACTCTCATCTCCTAGTGCACTCACCAGCTTGCTGATCACTTCATTCGTCGCTGCTCTTTCACCCATCTCTGCGAGAGCTAAACATGCAAAGCTTCTGTAATATTCACTCTCATCTCCTAGTGCACTCACTAGTTCGCTGATCACATCATTCGTCGCTGCTTTTTCACCCATCTTTCCGAGAGCTTCACATGCACCGAGTTTGACCCATTTACTCACATCTCCCAGTGCCATATTCACTAGCTTGCTGATCACTTCATTCGTCGCTGCTTTTTCACCCATCTTTCCGAGAGCTAAACATGCATGGAATGTGTCCACCTCACGCTCATCTCGTAGTGCCATATTCACTAGCTTGCTGATCACTTCATTCGTCGCTGCTCTTTTACCCATCTTTCCCAGAGCTAAACATGCATTGCTTCTGACCCCTTCACTCTCATCTCCTAGTGCACTCACCAGCTTGCTGATCACTTCATTCGTCGCTGCTCTTTCACCCATCTCTTCGAGGGCTTCACATGCATTGCTTCTGACCCCTTCACTCTCATCTCCTAGTGCACTCACCAGCTTGCTGATCACTTCATTCGTCGCTGCTCTTTTACCCATCTTTCCCAGAGCTTTACATGCATTCCTTCTGACCCATTCACTCTCATCTCCTAGTGCACTCACCAGCTTGCTGATCACTTCATTCGTCGCTGCTTTTTCACCCATCTTTGCGAGAACTTCACATGCATCCCTTTTGACCCATTCACTCTCATCTCCTAGTGCCATATTCACTAGCTTGCTGATCACTTCATTCGTCGCCGCTTTTTCGCCTATCATTCCGAGAGCGAGACATGCATTCGTACTGACTTGGGTTTCGTTGTCGTTTACTGAACTGCTTATTAAAGTAATCAGTGCAGCCGATGGATTGGAAATCTTCAATTCTGAAATGAATGATAGCACTTCAATTTTTCTATCCATATCATCGTGTTGGAGAAGATCGATCAGCATATTTATAATTAATTGATGGCATACTACTGATTGTGCTCTTTGCAACGAATGTGACAAGTGTTCGCGGATAATTTCTTTCTTGCTGTAGAAACTGTATTGAATGCATTTTGATATGCGTTCTAGCACTTCGTTATATTGAGGAAAAGTTGGTTTGCCAGAAATCTCCTCCAGGCATGAAATAATAAGTTGTAAATGTCTTATACCAACTAGATCTAGCGGTTCTCGTAGTATGGCATTCCAAAAGATTTTGGCTCCCGATTTTGCATCGATGTCACTAAGAAGACCGGACGCAAAAGTGAATACCAATGCATAACGTTGATTGTACTTTTGATATTTGATGAATTCGGTAATTTGTTCAGTTGGAGACCATTTGAGAGCGTTAATCAAATAGCGTGCTGCAAAGTATTCCTGAAAACTGAGATGTATGAAATAGTGATCTTTGCTTCGTTCAACTTGAGTGCCAGTTCCTTGTTTGTTGAAACTTTTTAGGATACCTATATTGAGGATGTATGGATTTTCCTGCAAAGATACTTTTGCTTCTTTCCATGCTTGTTCCAGTAAAGATGGTCTTATGATTATTGTGTTATTCTCCATTGCACTAAAGGCTAGAGTTTCTAAGAATGTCAATTCTTTTTCACAATATTGATACACTTCGTCGCTAGATAAATTTTGAATAGGAATATTTTGTGCTATCAAATATCTTCGACATAACCACTCCGTCATCATACTATACAATTTTGTTATTGTTAAATCTTTTGTTTCCGACCAATCTTCATTACTCCAGAGGCTGCAAATCAGTTCTAAATTTATTGGAATATGTGCAACACCCCAAATACGTGAGTTTGATATTAGAAAATTGATCAATTTTTGACTCTTTATCAATGTATCTTCTAATGTATTTTCCATTTGGTTAAAGAATTGCTGCACATACTCCTCAATATTCTTGTCTGTAAAACCTGTAATTTCCATTTGCACATCGTATGATAATGTGTTCAAATATGAACGAGATGTCAAAATATGATGTGGAGTTTTAAGTAATCGTTGTTCGAATAAATATTTCAGATGTGATGGTACATTTTGCACGATTTCATCATGCCCATCCAAAATCCATAGAGTCTTTTTTTCATCAAACTGTTTTCTCAAAAGTTTCTCTTCCTTTTCCGATAAATCATATTGAAAAACTTCTTTTTTCACAAGATCAACCAGAGAATAGTACTGGCCTGGTGGCAATAGTGGATAGCGATTGGTTGTTAAATGACGTAATGGAATCAAAACAAGTAACTCATATTGAGACCAAAACGAACCCTTCGCCCATTGATAAGCAACGTATCGACAAAATGTTGATTTTCCGATTCCGGCTCGTCCTAATACAAGTACCTGCTTCTCTTGATTTTTACATGTTTCAAAAATATTCTTGATATCTATTGCAGTTTTCATACCATAGATCTCTTCGAAAGTACCTATGATGGCATCACCATGCTTTTCGCCACGAAGTTGCTTTTCTTTTTCGTGTTGGTCTTTGGCTTTTACTATCGCCAAGTTGACGTAACTTTGTTCAATTGGAAAAGATATTGATGGATTCATTATGCGCTGAAGACGATTATTTCGTTGGTATCCTTGTCTTATCTGTTCAACTAAATAATTTGATTCAGATAGTGACACGCTAGAAAGAAAAATGTAAAATGATGAGAAAAGAAAAGATATTTCGAAATGCACCCAGCCACAAACTCTTGTATATTCAAACATTTCAACTACTTTACCGGAAGATCTATAAAAGATGATTGAAAATCAATCTATCTGGAATGATATCTATTTCATCGCACTTTCAGAGAACCTTATACAGCCCTAGTGAAAGTGCACTGTGACATTTTTACTCTAAAGACATTCGTTAAAAAATTACTAAATCCTATCGACAGACTGTTCAGCAAAAATTTTGGATTCTATTTTAAGTATTAATTATTTCAAAAACAAAAGTTGTGCTTTCAACTTTTTTTGATTCAATAAGCGAAAACTGACTTTTTTTCGCTCCTCTTTTCTCCAAAGCCAAAATCTCACCTTTTATTTATTTATTTTTTTCGAAAAAAACTAATTTTTTGACTTTTTTAAAATAAAAAATAAAAAAAACAAAAAGTAGAATTTTCATTTTGGAGAACATTGAAGTGAAATAAAAGTCAGTTTTCACTTATTAAACCAAAAACTAAAAGTTCAAAGCCTAGCTTTTATTTTTTGAATAAAAATAAAAACGGCAACTTTCATTTTTATTTAAAAAGCAAAAAATTGAAAAGCAGTTTTTCTTTTTGTAAAAAGAACAAAACCGTTAACTTTCTCTGTTTCGGAAGAAAAAAGCATTCGGGGATTCAGTTTTTGTTTTTAAAAAAAGTAAAACACTAACTTCTGTTTTTATATATATAAAACTAAAAAAAGTTGTAAAACCAGTTTTTCTTTTCGGAAAGAAAACAAAAACGTTAATCGAAAGGGTATATATACGGGTGCCGTATCCAAAGGGTTAAGAATCGAAGTAAGACCATTTAACGGTTCACATGTTCCAAAGTGTCTCATTTGAGCGTTCTACTACGGTTTGTCAGAGAATTGTTTAAATACCGTCATATCAATAGCAAAAGTTTTTAAGCTACTCAGAATCCTTGTAAGACGAACATATATCAGGGTTCATCATAAACACATTCTTGACAGACTCTCGTTTATTTCGCTATAGACTTACCTTTGAGGATTTACTTCTTTCAAGTGAAGAACGGACAGACGATCAATAAAACTGAGGGATTCACATCTGGCACGCAGACGAGTGCCAGGCATGAGAAGAACTTCTTGTTCATCCGGAACAGCCGAAAACGCGGAGATATCCTTGCCGTCAAGTACGTCAATAGCGAACAAAGTGCCATTTTCGCCTAAATATGACTGAATACTTCTCAGATCCATGGAACATGAATTTACACTCCACCAAATGTGCACATCATTGTCAGCAAATATTGAACCGACATTGTAATCAGAAACTCCTCGCCAAACAGTTGTCTTAGTTGATGGCAATTTTTCGAGACCAGTTATGAAAAGTTTTAAGAAGGCAAACCACGGCTTCAAAGCATGTCGAGTTTTAGCTCGAAGGGTCTCGTTGAGACGGGCAAAGATAGGTGTTGGCATTGAGTAAAGATATATTGCTGCCGATTCATCCCGCGTTAACAAAGCTTGATGTCGCTTGTATTTTTTTTTAGCTGTAGCAACATACTCCATGGTGCCAGAGATGGTAGGAGTTATTTTTTCTATGGCTTCTTCTAATGTCAGAAGCGGTGAATCTTTAAAATCGAATATTGGATTGCGATTTGCTTCTTCGAGCTCTGAAAGAGTATTGTTTACAAAACGATTGTTCGCCATAATTCTTGATTGTCGTTGTTATATTCAGTGCAATGCATTCAGATTATTCCTTGATTCCTGTAAAAACGATAACTAGAGTACAGTGTGAATTATAGTCTACCTGTAGGATCCCTCTCTTCTAGAGCCCTGCGTCACTATCACGCTCACGTGTGACCGTGGCCTTGACTAAATCCCGAGAATCCTCGTGACCTTGATCCTGACCGTGACTGACCTTCGGTCACGGTGGTCGCGAATTTTTTAGAGTGTTCTTGCACTGTCTTGCTAGTTTTTATCACGAGAGAGAAATCGGATGTTTTTAGTTCCTTGTAATCGATTTTGATCAAATGTATTAAAAAAACAACAATGATAAATAATTTTGTTCATTCTAAGAAAAAGAGCTTTACTATTGTTAAGGCTCGGGTATACCCTAGAAAAGTCATTTTTTGATGGAAAAGACGATTTTTCGTTTTTGCGTGATAAATGTAGCCCGTGGTGAGGTCTTTCAAGAATAATATGCAAACTTTAAAAATACCGATGTTTTGGGAGTTCTGAGGGAGGTTTCTACCACCCTAATTTCTGAATTAGCGAAACATGTAAGCGGACATGTAAGAACATGTTCATCATCTAATGATGTTCTGCTCCGGCAGCGGAAAGTGAAGTGAAACAAAAAGTGCGTCATATGAAAGTTTCTTTTCGACGTAAACCAAGATGTGGATATATGTATCTCCTTGTACTCTGACGTTCGAAATTGCCTGATCATGTTTCTCAGTTGAAAAGCTCGACAACGGCAACAACATCAATATATATCGAAATAGTTCGATAAAATAATCAATCGACATCTATCGACGTTCCTAGCAGCATACAGTTCTTGAAGTCTGCACGATAATGAGCTTGCCTAATTTGAATTTCAAATCATACCATCATATTCGTCTTGAAAAGTTCTCTCTAATGAAGTATCATGATGCTCATTCTGTTTAGTTTTCACAGAAAAATAGTCGTTTTATTAACACTCAACTTTGTTTTGAGTTTTTCTCTGCTTCTACTTTTGGACAAAATAGCTACCGTAGATTTCAAATTACTCCTACAGTTTTGCTTTGATAAAACTCATTCTTTTTTTGTTCTAAAGCTGAGAGTGGTGCAAAGTGCGCTACATAGCTGGATTTTTTATTTTCAGAAATATGTTGATCGATCTTCTCCAAAACGATCATATGAGTAGAAAAATTGAAGTGCTATCATTCATTTCAGAATTGAAGATTTCCAATCCATCGGCTGCACTGATTACTTTAATAAGCAGTTCAGTAAACGACAACGAAACCCAAGCCAGTACGAATGCATGTCTCGCTCTCGGAATGATAGGTGAAAAAGCGGCGACGAATGAAGTGATCAGCAAGCTAGTGAATATGGCACTAGGAGATGAGAGTGAATGGGTCAAAAGGGATGCATGTGACATTTTTCGATAGTGAAAGTGTTCTTTTCCCAGTTTCTATCCTGGACGCATAATAAAAAGTCCGGCCGTATAGCGCACTTTTGACAACATTATCTTCATTTTGACACTACTCCAAGATTGATCGGTCAAAAATTACGGAATGAAAACCGAACCTACGAACTGCTCTGATTCGGGAGATGACTCACTTATATCTCCCGACTATTACAATACTTTTTGGAGTTTGAAATTTCGGCTCGAGAGATGGACCAGAAGATCAATCTCTGAAAATTTCAGCACAATCGGATGTAAGGGAGAGATAATGAGTTTCTAGGGTATACCAGGGCCTTAATCAACTTATTCTTTTATTCCCTGTCGTCTTCACCGCCGTAGAAACTGTGTTCTTCTTGCACGTTCGTTTTGCTTCCTTTTGCAACTGAATCTTGAGCACTATCTACATCACAGACATCCGTTTTTTCTTCGTATGCCGTTGGGAAACCATGATTTTGATCAAACATAAGCTCAACAGATCGAAGATTTCTTCGCAGAAATATTTATGTGTCGATCTTTTGAGCGCCGAATTACACTGATCCTTTGATCACTCACTAACATTATTCTTTATACATGAAAATAGACATTCAACGGCTGTGTTGAATGCGAAATTGCGAGCAATTTATGGGCAATAACACCAATGTTGACAATTTGCTTTAATATTTCATATTGTAGCACATCCACATCATTAAAATATTGTTTTTTTCTGATTAAAATAACTATTTCATAGGAAATTAGATCACAAGAGAGCAAGAAAAATCCATGGATAAAAATCTCCTTCATCCAAAGCACATGGACTTCTGGTATAATAGTTGAGACAACAGATATTCGAGCTACGAAAGTATGATTTTAGGCTCCACAACTGAATGCAGAACTTTTTATCTGGTGATGCACAACAATTGATATTTACTGAGATCTATGCTTTGTTTTACCTGTCTTTCTTCAGGAAGAATATGATTTTTTACAAAAGTTCATAAGTTTGATCATTTTTATTCTCAATCATTATTTAACACAACTGAAAGGCTTCCCAGTTCGTACCCATTGCTGTCGATAATGTAAACTGAAGAAAAAACAGAAGAGGATAAACTTACTATGTATTCGTTCCATGTATAGTTTCGATGGGGATGTCATGCAAGGAGACACATCACAATCCCTCCCATATATATAACTGCTGTGAAACTTGTTTTTTTCTTTTTTTTCCTTCTCTGTTTATCTCATTGTCGTAATTCAATCTTTCTCCTGTAGTGTTTGTCCATGATTTTTATATGCAGCCAGCGGAGAACACAAGAGATGCTATGCATAAAAGGTGCGACGCGAGGTGCTCGTTGCGATATCTTTTCTTTCACATCTTGGCAATTTGTAGCGAATGTGTGCGTATGCGTTGATTCTACAGAACGGAGAAAGAAAAGATAAAAGAAATAGAATGAAGAAACACGTTGTAATGTGTTTGTTTTCTTTTTGATTCACTTCGAGTTTGAAGAGATATCCATTCTATCTATGAGCCATTGCACATAAGCCACGCCAGATCTTGCTCTGATCCAATCCCAGATTTTTGACTTTCATAGTTTTCTCTATACTAGAATCTGTGCTCTTTCAAATGGCACTTTCCGATTTTAAAAATATTACTCCTAGCCAAAGATACAGGCTTCACAAGATGAGATGTAAAACGTTCAAAAAGTATAACGTTTTCTTTTCAAAAATGTTGTGTTGGAACGCTCTTTTATGCAAAATTTTTTTCGTGGGCACTAGAAAACTGGTAAATTATATTATTGTGAAATAGAGAAGAACAGTCATTGTTTAGAAAAACAGAATCAGGTGATAAATTTATGGCCAATCGTCCGTATAAAGTCAATAATAAAATCATCAATGTCAAACGGGAATTGCCTGGTAGCAAAGGACACCGCCGGATAAGTAGCGATATCTGCCACCCTACGTTTTCATATTCTGAAGACATGGTCAGATAGAACTCACTCTGGCGAACATGAATATGATGTCAGAAACGTTCAGAACCACTTAGGA